CATGATCTGATGCTGACCCCTGAGCAAACATGGACAATGATAGGTCACAAGCAAATATGAGCAGACATGTGCAATATCTCACCTCCTGGCTTGCTATGTCTGTGCCACTTTACTTGTCCAACAATGATGGAGAAGAAACTATTGAAAAGAGCTGAGATTTCAGCACATTCCCATCACATTTCCAAAGAAAGAAAAGTGTTTCATGTTGGGATGGGAAGCCTCTAGCATGCCAGATTTGGACCCTTGCTGAGCCATATTAGTCCGACAGACCAGAGTTCCTCTACTTTAATCTATAAACAGAGATAGTGCAAGTTCTTCTTCTTGCTTCATAGCTTGCTGTTTTACACTCCAACCTGTAGGGAGAGTTTGGAGGCTGTATGTAGTGCCTGGCTGCTAAACTTTCCTCAATGAGGCAGGACAAATGTCAACCAATTTATCCAATGGCAGCAATTGCCCTGCAATATTCTGTATCACCCTGAGACTTTGTATTGATTTAGAAAGCTAATTTTAAAAATGGCTGTTTGAAACAAAGCTTCTAACCAAATGCTATCTTGGTTTATTTTATTTTAATTTAATTTATGTTCTTGTCAGAAATGGTTTAGAGCTATAACTTTATGGCATTAACCCTGGGTTTCTCAGTGTTAGTTTCAGGAAGACTGGGTTGGAAAGCATTTTAAATATTGTACGTCCCTCTCCGCCATTTTTGTTAACTGCCCCTTCTTTATTGGATGCCTCGTTATCTATCTTTAAAAAAAATGAGGCAGGATCTATGCAAGGTTGCAAAACAAACAAATATGTATGCAAAGGGATCTTGTAACACCTTGGAGACTAACTGTGAGAAGAAGGTTGTAGCATAAGCTTTCATCAACTTAGGTTTACTATCTCCATGCAGTGGTGTCCCCATCCAGGAAAATCTGGGAGGGGCACATTTTGCTTTTCTCACCCCACAGCAGGAGGAGAGCCTGACTGGGTGTCACCCAGTATGGGCCGCACCCCCTAGTAACGCCACTGAGTAGACTTGAGTCTACAAATGCTTATGCTACAACTTCTTTTCCACAATTAGTTTCAAAGGTGCTACAAGATCCCTTTGCATACTTATAGTCCAAACTATAGACCAGAGCAGATGGCCTGGAAGGAGTGGCCCGAGACCACTCTGGCCCTGATCAGGCCAGGATCATCTGAACGCCATGCCCCCGAAGAGGCTGGAAGCCACTTCTTTTGGCCCATCTGTTTCAGGCCAATGTCTCTGAAATAAATGTGTACATAGGCAAATTTTACACCAATAACCAAATGTTCATTCTAGAGATATTGACCTTCCACTTTGAACTCCCTCTGCTGTCCTGTTATCCACACCAAATAAACCCGATGGCTTAGTTTCTTGGTAGTCAGCAGCAGCAATGCTTCCTGTTTCATTCACTCGTTAGTTTTTATATGTAGAGACGCATGGGAAATGTAGTAGCCAATACCACACAAGGGTTTGCACCTCCTTTGACACCTCCTTGGAGTCTGTGTGACATGATAACTTTTTCTTTTACAGGAAATTAAGACTGAACTTCTTCTCCCCAATATGTTTTTTTTAATCTCTATTTCTGCCATTCATTTATAGACTTCTCCACCCTGCTTCTTCTGTATTTAAAAAGCTGTCCTGTTTTTTAAAGAATCCACAGCTGATATTATTCAGCTCAGACATGCCTTTAAAATTCTGCAGCCTTGCAATGAAATTGTCTCAAGGTTGCAATGCCTGGTCGGTGGTATTTCTACCTTGTCCTTGCTTGCTTCTTAAAAATGGTTTTTATTTTATAAAAAAATAAAAGCAGTTGTCATAACATCCAACCAATGAAACTGAAATATTCAACAATGAATCCTTTCATACAAACTGGGATGAAAACTTGAAGATTAAAACCTTGATCATTATTGTTCAAAATCAAAAGAAACAGGGAACAAATTGAATAAAAACTCAACATTGTTTGATTATTTCTTCTGCTTTGCTCTTTCATATCAGGTTTTCTGACAAAAGTATAGACCAAACTCTTTACTGCCATATACTGTTCAGCAGTTTTTCCCATACAGGTTGATTTGCAATTGTGCTGCAAGGCGTCAGAAACTAAAGTTTTCTGCAGCAAGTCTTTATTGATGCCTGCAGAGAGAAATAATACATCTACCAAAAAGTATATATATTTAGGGCAAAGCCACAAAAAGTGGCACTAAGATTCCATACTTCCACAGTGATGCCAGCAATCCTAGAACTGTGAAGTCGTAGGCTTTCATGGCCAGCATCCATAGTTTTTTGTGGGTTTTTTGGGCTGTGTGGCCATGTTCTAGAAGAGTTTCTTTCTGATGTTTTGCCAGCATCTGTGGCTGGCATCTTCAGAGAATACTGGAATGGAAGAGAGTGGGTCTATATGGAACAATACACAGTTTACATGGGAACCATTCCTCCCCACCCAGGGTCTCACAGTATATATAGACCCACTCTCTTCCATTCCAGTATTCTCTGAAGATGCCAGCCACAGATGTTGGTGAACGTCAGAAAGAAACTCTTCTAGAACATGGCCACACAGCCCCAAAAACCCACAAAAAACAATCCTAGAACTGTTAGAGGTTATACGGCTAAAGTATATTGAGAGTATGGCATAGTGATTTGAGTGTTGGACTATGACTCTGGAGAACAGGGTTTGATTCCTAGCTCAGCCATGAAACTCACTGGTTGACCATGTGCAAGTCACATGCTCTCTGCCTCAGGGGATGGCAATGTCAAACCTTCTCTGAACAAATCTTGCCAAGAAAAACTCTTAGGCTTGCCATAAATCAGAAGCGACTTGAAGGCACACAACAACAACAATCTGAAACATAACAACTTGATGGAGCATTCTTTAAATTTGGTTGAAATCATATTGAACTCTTCCCCTTCTTTCTCTTCCACCATCTGTTATATTTTTATATGAGGAGATTGAAAGTCCCAGAATCCACATAGCTTGGGTATTCTGGGAGTTGTCATCCTAAAAGGACTTTTTGCAAGCTTTAGCAGCCTCATCTTCACTGGCATATCAGGTTGCAGTTAAAAGCAAAAGAGCAAGGTCAATATAGGGGGTGGTGGGAATGATCACATCTTCATTGTGGGAGCAAAATGTCTTAAGTGGAAAGGGGTTAGAAAATAGCTCATCCCCACAGAAGCCACACACATGCAGTTGGGGTGGTGGAGAAATGAGTGTTAAAAGTGCTGCAGAACAACTGGGGGAATGTGAAGTGACAGGAAGGAAATTGTGAAGGGGGGGTTTCACAAATTGAGTTGAGATAGATAAAACAGAACCGTTGTCAAAGAGCCTAGAGAGAGAAACTCAGTTTTAATAGCTCTTCCTGTCTCATCATTTCAAACCACCAAAAAGTCCAGTCCTCCTATCAAAGTTCAAGCCAGCAGCAGACTTCACACTCGGTTTCTCAGAGACAGTATCTTTCCAAAGCAGTGTTTCGGCAAGAAGATTCAAGTAAGGACCGCAAGAGGTTTGGTGCTGTCCAACTCTTTGGAAAGAGGGAGAATTCCAAAGTAGTAAGTAGCTTTATTAGTATTCCTGCCTTATTCAATATGCATCTTTCCTTTCTGCCTTTCATAATTATGGACAACCTTACGAGCCACTACCCTACATCCACCCCAGATAAGGTTCTAGAGAGCAACTTGGAGAACCCTTCCGTCTCTTCTCCCATGGCTTCTAAGGGTCTAATCACACATTAAGGGAAATGTATTTTTCATGCCATGTCTGCACAGTTGCTATTTGCAAATGAAATCCAGCTTTACCTCTCGCTAAGATAAAAGCAAACTAATTTGCAATACAAAGAGTAGGGCAAACACTGCTTTGATAATTTTTCAGTTTTGCAATTTTGCAACTTATGGACCAAAGCAAATCGAGTGCTAGGATAAACAGATGTCTTTTACCTCCCGAGAGGGTTGCTTCTAATGACATGCTGAATATCATCTATTTGGGGTCTGATGTCCTCATGTGCCAGCCTGGCTGAGCCTTGTGGGTCAGGCAAAAGATGGGGAAGCATGTAGAATAAGCAAGCATTCCACTGCTTGCCCATCTACTGGTGTTGTCTACCTTCTACTCCACTTCACACTATCACCATCCACCTACTGGCATCCTGCTGTGGACATTAACTGAATTAAGCAAAATATGTTAATGACTAACATTTTTCTCTGCTTATCGCTTGAGTCATCAAAGGATGTCTATTGAGCATATATGAGCCATCCCCGCATCTCATAAATTGAAAACTTTCCTCCAGAACAGTGGGTTCTTTTGCACTATTCTGGTTCACTTATTCTTTGCATCTCATCATGCATTCACATTTTACAATACTGATGTAGAAGAAGAATGACTAGGTACTTGAAAGGTTTCCAGATTTATTTGTGGCTGAGATCTAGTGCAGCTGAATGTAGCCCAAGTAGTCTCTTTTGAAGGGGAAAGAGAGGAGGAAAGTGCACAGCCAAAGGTTGCTTTGCAGCTTCTCCTGAAACCCTTGCATTGCCAAAAAAAAGTAACCTCTTTTCAGGTTAGCTTTTCTATTTTGAACTGAAGTGTGACTTGCCACTTCAACAGATGGCATCCAAAATTCAAGGAAAGCCCTAGCTATATTTTTTGACTGTAATCTTTATTTCATAAATTATCTCAAAATACATCAGACTTGGCATCTGAAGGTCTTAGACACCAGAAGTGACATAGGAGATGTGTAAGCTAATTTCCTAGCAATTTCCTGTGCTAGCAATTGCACAGAGGAGGGAGTTACTCAATTTCCCCATTCTATTTTTCTGATCTAAATCCCCTTTTTCCTTCTTTCATAGCTGCTAGTGTTCAGGAGGAGGGAGTGAAGGCATTACTGTACCTGTGGGATAAATCCAACATTTGTCCAACTTAGAATAGATTAACTGAAATGACTAGGACTTGCCAGCCATACGTAACATAATTTTTTCAAGTTTCTACTCTAAATAGGACTAGCTTTCAATGACAGCCAGTGTGGTGTAGTGATCTGAGTGTTAGATTAGGACTCTGAAGACCAGAGTTCAAATCCTGGCTCAGCCATGGGAACCCACTAGATACTCTTAGGCAAGTCACACTCTCTTAATCTCAGAGGATGGCAATGACAACCCCCCTCCAAAGAAATTTGCCAAGAAAACCCCATTATAAGTTAGCCAGTAAAGCTAAATGGGGTAAGGAAGACATATGTACACAACTAGTGATCTTCAGAATAGATTATGGGGCAGTGGAGGGTGAGGGATCCATTTGATTCACAATTTAATGAAAACTGACCTGAATTAATACATTCAAATCAGTTGTTGTTGTAGTGTGCCCTCAAGTCATTTCCAACTTATGGCAACCATAACAGAATCAAAATGCATTTATCCTTCCAAACTTGTCATTCTGCAAAATTTACAATGGGCGTTTGGCACAAAACAAAGTGTACAAAAATTCCCTGTGTTGCAGGAAAGGGCATGCAAAAATGCATTATATTTTGGTTTTTAAAATTTCTGTGTTACACAAGTAGAGGCAACTGAGAGAAAAGAGCACCAGTTTTCTCGAAAGTGTCCTGGAGATCCAGGAAGGCAATGACAACTGTTTTCTCTTGGTGACACCTGGGCACCCCACATATTGCCTCTGCCACCCTTCCCCTGCCATTTGTAGCAGGTTTACAGCAAGAAGGGGCATGTTACAAAGATGTCTGCCCAAGGGCTGAAAAGAACATACACATGCATAATTCTAGGATGCATGTACATATGTCATCAACAGAATTCTGGCCAACATTTGGTGGTACTCTTTTGATTGTCCCAGCACCCATAAATTAAAAAGCTTGTTCATTGCTAGCAGTATACCACGACCACCACCACCCTTTCCTCTCAACTGAGAGCCAGGGCTGCTGCTTCTGATCTCAATAATACTCCAAAGGTGTGAAAAAGTCTCCAGGAAGTGGCTTGAGGTGAAACACAAGGCTGACTCCTCAAAGACTGCTGTAAATATCAAATTCATCTCTATGAGACAACTCAGGGTAGTTATCATATTTGTATCTCAGCCCTTCAGCCATTTTTAAACTCTCCAATGGGGAATCTTAGGCAGGACTGGTACCAAGTTTGGAGACACATTCACACAGTGTCATCTTATGGAGGTCCTCTTGTGTCACAGCTTCTGCGCCATCTTCATCACAAGTTGGTAGCAGCTGGAAATGTTGAGTTGCCCTAGGGCACTGTGGGAAATATAAAGGGCAGTCTAATTTGGACCCATGATGGGGGGCCAAGGATGACATAGCCTGTTGTTAGATCTGCAAAAGAGCCCTGTGTTTCTTGAAATCTTACCTAGGATTCCTAAACATATGAATATTCCAGGAAGATGCTATGAGGGCTTCTACTTATCCCTTCCTCTGCCACAAAATATGGGAACTTCTACCTAACCCACCACTGCTACCAAATGTGTGGACCTCCACCTGTCTCAGCTCTACTGCATCAAATGTGAGGATCTTCTAGATCTCTTATGGATCCAATGTGAAATTCTATTCAGCTAATCACCCTACTGGACACCACCATCCTTGAATAACTGCTGCCACCACAGACATCACGTGTCTGAATTCAAGCTGTTCAATAACCCTTATGGAGCATTCTCAGAAGCATAACAGTATAATACAAAAAATAAAACCCCAGATTCATCCCAGATTATTTTCGTAGAGTGAATGGGGCCATAGTCTAACATTCAAACCACCATACCATACACCTTATTGGCAGTCATACACTTGTAATTGCAGTCTACCTATTTTTTTTATTGATTCCTCTGTGTGGCTTCAGTAGCAATAGCAGTAACAATAGCAATAGCAGCTATATTTCTATACCACTTCATACTGAACTAAGCAGTCTCTAAGTGGTTTACAATGTGTAAGCTAATAGCCCCCCAACATGTTGGGTGCTCATTTTAGCAACCTTGGAAGGATGCCAGGCCGATTTGACCCTGGAGCCTCTGGCTGGAGTCAAACTCACAACCTTGTGACTGTGAGTGAGTGGCTGCAGTACCAGCATTTAACTACGGTGCAACCAGGGCTCCCTTCAGTATGCTTTTGGGGGCTTTCCATCCATGTGTTCAATCCCATTCTCTTGTTCTTTCCCCTCATGGTTCTTCCAGGTCAGAATCCAGCCCAAAGACTCTTTGAGATACTCATCTTGATCATTCCAAGGATGCTGGCTTGCAGAATCTTCAGTGTAATGCTGACATCCATCAGTCTGGTTCTTCTGCTGATGGCAGTGATCACTGACTACTGGATAGTTGCCTATGGTGCAAAAGACATCGTGCACAGCGGGCTCTGGCAAGTGTGCAGAGATGGAAACTGCTTTGTGCCAAATGTGACTTATGGTAAGGAGCATGAGGCAAGATTCTAAATGTTATGAAAGATTCCTAAGAGAGGTTGAGATTCCCAGGACAGATTGCAAATGAGCCCCCCAAAGCTACTAGTTTTCTCAAAGAAAATACTAGCCTGTGCACCTGCACGTGCCTTGGCAAGAAAAAAAAAAAAAGCCAGACTCTCTATTCAGAAAGTGGAGTCACTATATCCTTATTCTTACTTGCTACAAGTACCTGAGTATATAGATCTAAGTTTTGAGGTCTCTCTGGGCAAGATACCCTCAGTAGCTTTTCTTTGTAGGCCTGTGTCTTCTTTGCTTCTTTTAAGGTACTGAGTCACAGCTGGTCTGGCTGAAATTCAGTTGCCAAGGGGAAGAGAAATAAGGTCACACTCCCAAAGCAAAACCTCATTCCTATTACTCTCAACTCCACAGCACTGTGTCGTCACCTCTCCCTGTACTCCCTTGTTTTTTAAGAAGTCTTGACAGTGGCCCCAGAGCATGAAGAACTGCTGGAGGTGTGTTTGTGAAAGGAGTTAATGGCAATCTCTTTAGAAGATATCTGAAAAAAGGCAACCCATGCATAACCTTGAGTTTTGCATATGTATGTCACCAACAGGATTCCAGCAAATGTCAAATGTCAATAGAAATTGTCCATCTCACCACAGTGGAGAAGACTATGACCATGAAGATCAGACTGCCTTCTGTGCCTCCATCATATTTACTTCTCTCCCTGCATATACAGTGCAAGAGTCTTCAGTTTAGTTGGATTGATTGGAAGGCAAGGCAATTAAATCGTCAAATCAAGTTTACACATCTTTATCTAGGCAGACACTTTGGTCTTGTCACATCACTGCAATAAGGAGTGATTTTTTAATAAATAAATAAATAAATAAATACCTAGTTAACTATACACATCTGTGCTTTCCTTTACAGACTACATTATAGCAACACGTACATTCATGATCATGGCCTCTCTGACAACCCTGGCTGTGGTCATTGTTCTCATTGCCTCCTTCATGCCTTACAATTGTGGTGCTTTGGACAAGCCCTTGAATGCT